GTGTAAGTTCTAATAGTTAGAACTACTAAAACATTTTATTTGAGTTCTAGTTTGAAAGGATTGTATGGCTTCTTACATTTCTGAATTTCAGCCAGGATAGAGGTATGTTTAGTTATACATACTTAAATAGAACTCTCACTTCTGTGAGCCCTAAGTAAATCTTGCGTTGCCAGGTAAATAAATTCACCAGGAAGATCATCCGGGGGTACTCACTCACTTTGTTTACTTATGGCCGTTGTTTATTTTCCTGTCCAGGTGAGACCTTCGTTTTCCAGTTACTTGTCTAGGTGGTTTGAATGCAAGGCACATCTCACAGCTGAAGAGTCCGTGCATAGCACCAGGCTTACTTTCTATTCACAGAGACTGACCGTGCTAATGATGGGTTTTCCCTGGATATTTACAAAGTCACTCGTTGGTGTGTATCTCTGTGGCATTTCCATAGTAGAGGAATTATTTACATGTTACTCTTCCACATTTCCAGTGGTAGGTTTGTTTTTTTCGTTTTGCTCTACTAGGAAAGGTATAACGTAGGTGTGAAGAAGCTTACAGGAAGACTGTCATGAAATTGTCCTTTGTTAGAAGACTGTCCCCATCGCCCCTTTTTCAATCTTGTAAAAATGTTTGTGTGTTTCCGCATAGGAAATCGAATGTGTCATTAGGAAGCATTAGGGGAGTTATTTTAAAGGCAGATTTTAAAGAGCCTTAATCACGAATGTTTTATGCATGCTGAAAACCTAAGTGAGAAGGGAGTATAGATTTGTGTTGCTGAAATTTTCCTCTTTGTTGTCTTTCATCTTGTTGGCGTGATTAAATATTTAAGTGTATCTACTGAAACAAATAGGAACGCAGCGTTGTGATGGGAATACTTTAGCAGCATGGACTACCCCATCTTTTATTTCTCGTACAGCTCTCTGCATTAACGAGTGGTAATGACCTGGCACTAGACTGTTTGAAATGGCATAGTGTTTTTTTTCCCCCTTCACATAGATTGAGATAGTTATTTCTTACTACGGCCTGTTTTTATTGCCATATAAGTTTTTCGAAAAGTGTTCCTTGGCTCAGTCAAATTTGTATCCTTGTAAAAATAACATAATGCCAGAAAAAAAATACGTATAACTGGATAAAATAAGAAAAAATAGCTATTTTATTGGACTATAAGTTTTGAGTTTCTTCCCAGGTTTATCATGTACTTTGTTTTGGGGAAAGTTTGGACAGGAAGGTGGGAGTGAGCACGATAGGTTAGAATGTGTCTCAGATTTTCCTCAAGGTTGCACCAGCCTATGATGGCCTATGGTACCTATGATAGAATAATATTATGAAACCACAGGAGTGAATAGTGGATAATTAGTGATTATTGCTGATATTATAGAACAGCTATTAGAAACTGACTCTTTGTTTGGCCTCAAAGGAAACTAAAATCCAGGTAATTTAAGTGATATGTCCTTCGTCACACAGCTAGTTAGCAGCTGAGCTGGAAATAGTGCTTGGGTTTCTCGCTTCCAATCCAGAACTCTCTTCTGTATGTCTTTCATACAGATATGATGAATTTCCATTACAGACAACTCAGTAGAATTTTTGTAATGAATAATGGCTAAGCAATTATCACTAGCCTCCCCAACCTGATGGGTTGAAAGCATAATTGAGAGTTTAAGAATATAAAATTTTCCTAAATTTCTACTAAATGATCTTTGAAACAGCCTTTGGAGAAAGGGAATAGATATTTCAATCATGATTCTCCTGATTGGAGGGGAGTGTTGAATATCCATATGCTGGGTCTGGGAAATTGATGCAGAATGAATAATGAACTGTTCTGCATTTTAACTGCCCGTTCACTGGCTTCAATTCTTTAGTTTACAACCTGGATTCCCCATTCTGTCTCCCACCAATCTCAGATGAAGAGGCATCCTTTAGGATATTTAGAGTGTTCTAAACAAAATGGTTCAGGGGGAGGTTGATTCTACAATCCCTCTAGTGTCGCTAGATTAACCAAGCGCCTTGCTTTAAGTTTGCTCTGGGAATAAGTGGAAGCCTTGGTAGATAAATAGAAATAGGAAACCCAGAGGCATAAAAGTTATTGAAAAAATAGCCAGATACTTTTTCAAAGGAAACAGATAGAAATAATCGTTCAGAAGCTTACTCCCACAGGACATTGCTCAGTCATCTGCTTTGGCTCTTTGAAATGCTTGCTGTCATTGTAATTACTTATAAACTTGTGCTTTTTGCACTGTTAGGAATATAAGCTTTAGAACATCTTTTATTACTAAGGCTTTCTAGCTCTAGTGAGTGCATAATCACTGTTGAAATTCATATGGCATAAGATCCTATAATCTTTTTCTATAATCTTTAATGCCAATTTTAATAAAAATATTTCTGGAGATAATAAAATTAAATATCATATAATACATTACTGGCAATAATAATTATGTTGCTGCTGCCACTTCTGCTACCAGGATAAGGGGGGGAGAAGGAAGAAGCACGTATCTTGTATAAGGCCTTGTGCTGAGCACTTTACACAAATCATGTCAATATAATCCTTATAACAACGTTATCATTGTCTCCATTTTACAAGGAAGTGTTGTATAGCTAAGCCCCTTGCCCACAGTCGTGCAGCTAGCAGCTAGCTCAAATTCCTGAGCTCACACTTTTAACCATTATGGCATATATTGCTTTATTCTATAGTCTTGGGATAGGCTGTGGAACATCTGCCTTCTGTTTCAAAGCATTATGTGCTTTAGTTTAGTTCAAAGAAAAAATTAGAATGTTATATATAAGTTTTGTTCATGCACAAATTTTTAAACAATTCTCATACGAAGAAACAGGTATGTTTAATTGTTATTAATCATCAGATTAGGGGAAGAAAGTATGCAGATCTTTTAGAAAATTAATTATGGGTAGTGCCAATGAAGGTTCTTGTTAATAAACTGTTTTACTATCAGGTACTGAAAAATTGTACAGAGCTATGTCATATCATAACTTATGACAAGTTATTATGTCATTTTCAACTGGAAAATGGTATAATGAATTATTTATAACCATCCCAGAATTGAAGTTAATATAGTTTTTCACTAAAAAGATTATACTGTCTTCCACATACACATCTTCTTTGTGATGAATGATTAAGTTTTATATATTAATTTTAAATAATTGAGTCAATGTTATGATTTACAGTGACTTAAAAATTGCATTTTTATATTTTAATATGAAATCTTAATATGCTATTTAACAAGTAAATAACTTTTTATGTACATAATCTTTATTTTATTACATTGTAAAACTAGCTATATATGTTTACCAGAATTTTCTATTTCAGTTTTCTGAAAAGCATAATTAATTATCTAATAACATAATTTTTAATTAACTTAGTCATTATTTTAATTAGCATTTTGGTAAATTCCTTTTACTAATTTTCTCTTCTCTGACACCTCTCACAATAAAGTAGTGACATGTAGAAGGAATTGGTTGAAAGAAAGACAGTATGAAAAGAACATGACTATATAAAGAAAACCAAGTGTCATGTGATTACTATTTGTTAGTCTTAGAAGTTATAGCAACACATCACAACTATGGGGTGATTTGTTACCTATTTTCCAAGAAGGTTAAAGGGAGAAATATCCATTACTTGTGACAGTATTTCCATGGTATGATGGCATCATTTATTCTGGATATTTTCTTGTTCAGAGAAAGAAATTAGAGAATCTTAAAAGATGGTGGTTGTTCATTTTATTTTTAGCTTTCATTATTATTGTCAACCATAGCATGTGCATGTTAGAGACAGTAATGATGATGGAAATCTTAATATCACCATCATTAAATAGAGAAGAGTTAGTTGCTCAGTGACCAACATTTGAAAAAGAAACCTGGGTTTTCAGTTTTGCTGCTTTGTTACCTTGGGCGAGTCTTTCCATCTTTTTGAGTCTCAGGTTTTTTAGCTGAAAAAATAATAAGTTGTACTAACCAATCTCTGTGATTAAATTCTGCTCTGCATGTTTCTTAACTTTCTTATGTTTGCTAGCAGAGAATCTTCTTTATCTGATCTCTTAGAAAGAAAAATGATACAAAATCAAATTTCGTAGCCAATGGCCCAGTCATAGAGGAATATAGGATATGTATTGTCTTTTCCATTGTACTCAGCTGTGTTTTCTGTAATAGATGTACACAATATCCCATGTAATTGGTGCAGAAGGGCTGTGGCTTCTGCTGTTGGAGAGGTGTGGAGGCTGCCAAACAGGGCCCTGACCCGTGATGCTGAGGCCATTTCTGCCAGCCTAGGGGGACTTTCGCCTTCATACAGTCAGTTTTGACAATCCATGTACTTACCTTGCAAATTCATGGTTCATTTTCTTTTGAAATTAAAAACAACACCAACATTAACATGCGTTGCTGTGGCTTAAGCAGATTTGTTTAATTAAAACCATTGAAGTAAATAGCAATGTTCGTGGTTTCCAGAGACAGATATGTATGGGCATAGCCCTCCCTTATCCAAGGGGGATGCATTTCAAGATCCCCCGTGGATGCCTGAAACTGTGGATAGTACCGCACCCTATGTATACTGTACTCCTGTTTTTTCTTCTACAGATATAGCTATGATATAGTTTCACTTATAAGTAGTCGCAGTAAGAGATGAATAACACTGATAATACAATGGAACAATTATAACAGTATATTGTAGTAAAAGTTACATGAATGTGGTCTTTCTCTTTCAAAATACCTTATTATATTGCATGTACTGCATGGGGAGGCTGGACAGAGGGATGATTCAGGTCCTGGGCAGGACGGAGCAGGACTCAGCGAGATTTCGTTTTGCTACTCAGAACAGCGTGCATTTTTCAAACTTATGAATTGTTTATTTCCGGGGACTTTTCTATTTAATATTTTTGGACCACAGTTGATAGCAGGGTAACTGAAGCCACAACAAGAGAAACCACAGGTAAGGGGGGATTACTGCAATTTAAGGAGAGAGAAGATTCTTACCTTTCCATGTCATTTATGTTTGGTTGCAGAACTTCAGATGGTGGCAAAGTTGTTGGCACCATAGAAGTCAGTGTCGTGAAGATGGGGGAGATTGAGGATGGGGAAGCCGACCACATCACGGCAGATGTGCAGGGACAAAAGGTAGGGTCTCCGCCAGCTGATTGCACAAATTAAATTAGAAAGGATCATCTTCACCGGATGTCTGAATCACCGCCACCTCTGTGGGGTATGAAACCTCATTCTTCAAGAGCTAAATGAGAAATCAGCTCTGCAATCTGAATGCCAGAAATGTGTTTCAGCCTCTGAAGCTGAGGCTGTTTGCATGGAACTAGGCAAAGGCAGGTGCCATTCAGAAACATCTTCCTCTTCTCCACCTGCTCCTGTGTCCACGCTGCCTCTTCTTAGTTGATCACGGTCGCATTCTGCCATACTTAACCCTTCAGGAGATGCCCAGGAAATTCTTGGAGGACTATTACCACAAGTAACCACTTCCCTACTCTCAAAACCCTCTTTGGAAAAAGATGCAGTTTGAACTTAGATTGCATTCTTATGTGAAGGAGGGCAGACTTCATAACATTGCGCCTTGTGAAACTGCAGAGAGAGAAGCAGGGAATTGTCCACAGTGGAGGGGAGCTCTGGAGGAGGGGCGATGCCCGCTGGAGGCCAAGGAGCTTCCTTGAAGCCCAGGATAAAGACTCCAGTGCCTCTCAAGATGTGGCCGGGAGTTTTACTTGCTTTCTACTCCCTTTTCTGCAGGAGATGAAAACTTGATATTGAGTATTAGCCCAAATTCCTGTCTTCAGAATGCAATTGCCTATTTTATTGAGGCATAGGGGACAGGCTTCAAAACGGCTAATAGTTCTTTTCAGGAACGTGAGCTTGTGTACACACTGTAATTCCTGCCTCGTTATAAATGAACATTTTTTTAATGACAAAGCTCATTCTGACTTAACTTCTAGCTTAGAGACTCTTATCTGGGAACATTTGGATTTTGTTGGTAAGGAAACATCTACATGTAAGATGGTGTTTATGTAACACTTAATGAATCATTAACTTTACACAATATATGACTCCTTTTCAAATATACATAGTTCTAGCCCTAAGAAAGGCAACACTTGTTTCTCTCTGTTCCCCTGCTCTCCCTCGGAGCATATCCCGGATCATGAAAAGATTCCAAGGAGGCCTGGAGTTTGAATCAGGTTGCCTCCAAATGTCAGGGCTATGCTGAAGTTTCGTAGCAGATCCTCTTAGGGTTTGTGTAAACAAGACCCGTTTGGGGTTAGTCCCTTTGTTTGGTCCTCGTGTCCTTTGGAGTTCTATATAAGACCCATCTTAGCACCACGTGGATGTTTGTATCAAAATTAAGGAGGGAGGACTTTGAGGGTAAGCAGGGTCTGAGATCAGAAATAGGCAGATGATGGTGCCTGGACCTGTGGGCATGAGCCAGGCCAGGAGCAGACACATGTCCCATTTCTAAGTTAGGCTACTTTCCCTGGCTCTGACTCTGTCACTAGCTGCCTCTCTGTTCTTAAAGTTCATCTACCCCTTTATTTCTTTATTGCTTTTCTATTCTGAGGTAGCACAAAGTGAATCATGATCTTTTCATAACCGGAGAACTCGATACACAGCCATATGCCCCACCCAAGTCCTGCTTTATGTTTCTGACTTAGTCATGTGAACTTAAAAAAGAGACTTAACTGAGCTCTTCTAGAAATAGGAGGTGGCAGTGTCAGCACAAACCCTGTACGAGTCACAGGTGACAGAAATGGTAAACTCAGCGAGCTTTGTCGGCAGTACCTTCGTCCTGCCTGATTCTTAGTAAACCTTGACCTTTGGCAAATTTCTTTTATAAAATTTGCTATAGATTCTGTTGGCAGTCCCGGGAAATATTGGTGATTGAATAGAGAACATAGAGTAAGTCCACTCTGCATGACATTTAGGAAAGTCGTGTGGAAATAACTTTATCTCAGTGTTTTCAAAGTGTGGTCAGCATCATCTTGGGGTGCAAACACACTTTTGCAGATGCATGAAATCAAAGTCAGTGAGGTGTATTAACACAGTTTGTTACTGATGGAGATTTAAGTCCCAAAGTTAGTGAATGACTGAAACATATGAAAGGACAAAGTCACTGAAAGAAAGGATATCCTGATAATAGCATCCTTTTCGCTGGTTTGCATTTATGGCAGAGAAAGACAAGAAACTACACTTAGACCCATAGTCATGTGAGTACATGACACATCATCTCTCATGTATATTGAAGCAGATAAACTATTAATACCGATATTAATCAGCTCAGCTGCCATAATAAAATATCATAGACTGGGTAGCTTAAACAGAAATTGATTATCTCACAGTTCTCAGATTAAAGTTCCAGATTAAAATGCCAGATGATTCAGTTCTTAGCAATAGCTCTCTTCTGTCTTGCAGGCTTCTTCCTGTGTCCTCACATGGTCTTTTCTCGGTGCAGGTGCACAGACAGAGAGGGTGAGCTCTGGTGTCTTCCTCTTCTTGCAGGACACAGCCCTATCAGATTAAGGCCCCATCCCTATGACCTCTTTTAACCTTAAATACCTCCACAAAGGTCCTATCTCCTAATACAGTCACATTGGGTGTTTGGGCTTCAACATATTAATTTTAAGGAACACAGTTCAGTTCATAATAATACCTCTGATATAAAATACTGCATTTTAATTTTGAATTTTACATAGCCTTCAGAGCATGAAGTAAAATATAAAAAAAATCCAAACTCTCTCCTCTTACATACATTTACTTACTTGTTTCCTCAGATCATATTTTTATTATTATATTTATGTTTCTCATCCAGGGAAGATAGAGCAGAGGGTCATTCACCATATTACCCTGGTTCAAACTTTTAGTTGATATATGTATACATAGAACTAGAAGACAACGTGTTACTATCACATAGCAGTAGAAAGGAAATTTACAAAAGAAATATGAACACTGTCCTTTTACAAAGCCAATATATTAGTGAAATGTTGCATTTGGTATCCAAACTTTAAAAAAAAAATTTAAAGTCATTGTTTACTCATTTCTTTGTCTCATATTCACAGTCAATATGTCAATAAATCCTATTGATTGTGACTTCTAAATGAATCCAGAATCCAAGGACTCATGACCCTTTCCCTGCTACCAACATTGACTGTCACCTACATTTTTACAGTAGTCTCTTAAATGTTTCCCTGATTCCCTTCTTCCTCCTCCCAGCACTGCCCCCCACCATAGTCTATTTTCAGCAGAGCACTTACTAAAATGTAACACAGAATGTGCCATTCCTCCTGAATCCTTAGCTCCCTGAAAGTATGAATCCAAAGCTTTCCAGTGACCTGACTTAGAGTCCTATATCTCAAAATTCATGAGTATCGTGTGTGTGTGTGTGTGTGTATGTATATACACTAATAAAAGAGAAATATGTAAATTGGTCATCACTCTGCTACGCACACCAACTAATCAGGTTGAGTATGCAAATTAACCCAACAAAGATGGCAGTTAATTTGCATATGCAGGCGCGAGTGAAGACTG